CAGTGCCTTTCTAACCGTTCATGGTTTGCTTCGATATTGGTTTGAAAGAGCGAATACAGTTAATTTGTGAAATCGCAACGTGGGATCAAGAGTAGTATAGTGAAATAATAAAAAAGGTGATCTTACATATATTAGTAAGGAGTTATTGGTTTTTCCATGAACTTCAATTTATTCACCACTCACTAGATTATATTTGTATGATTTCTCTTCATGTTATTCTGAGTTTCTTCCACTGCATTCGAACATCATTTTTAGTTAAATAAATGATGCGCTAAGTCATGATAAACATAACTGTGTTGTCGATCATCACTTGGTTTGGGTTTTGGGGGATGGTCATAAACTGGGTTCCACTAATCAGATGTTAATCCCGTTCTCGTGAACATATATCACTCGACCGTACCAAGCCATATCGTTTAATCATTCTCAGGCCATTTGGCCATCATCCTATACAATCAGTCGTTTCTTTACAACCAGTAGTTGCGTTCGGTTAATATCTATTACTACATATTGACTTCTTCATTGGACCGCAAGAGAACATGTGACTGAATGAATTAAAGTTGTGATGACCCAGAATAGAAATAGCTAGTGATCATACTGTAGATTTCTCGTTTCTCATATCGAGAAGTAGAACGGAAGTAGTGAAGAATCCTTTTATCTTGTGAGATTGCCTTAATGATTATTCCCCTACGCTTTTCTTATCTTTCGTCATTCCTATTTTCTTCTTGTGCCTTAATGTAGTTATATTGTTTTCCTCGATACATTTTTTCAACCTATTTTCTACTCTGTTTGTTTCGAAAGATAACTAAATAAGTTGATCAACTCATAAGTTTATCTCAGTTTGTATTTAATTTTGAAGTGTGGATTTTAAGTCTTGAAACAATATTGATGGCTGTTTTAATGTATCCTGTCACATTTTTGGTAATTTTATCCCTCTACATAGTGGTTGTCTTTGGATATCATGAAGAACTCAGCACTGCCCAAGACTGGTCACAGCGGTACACTTGTCTTTTGCTTTTCATCAGAATTCTAATATGCTCCAATCTTGAAATGAATAAATACGTTTCCTTGGGATTCGTAAGTAGTGATACGAGTCGGCATAAGATGAGGACTTATATATTGTAATTAGAAGACGAAGTTTATCTGAACAGTGTGATGTATTTTTGCAATGCATTTCGAACATTCTGAGGAAAACGTTATCAGGATTTGTTTTCGGTCATTTTTAAAGACTAATGTTTTGGACTATGAGGAACAATCTCTTCAGACATTATTATACTTGATCTCCCACCTAATGAGAGTTTTGTATTCCAACTGGATACTCTTGCTAGTGGTATATTTTGCTTACTCTTGGTTAGAAGTCTTAAGACTGGGTACGTTTCACGTCGTTTTTCGAGTGGGTCTCTCTAACTTGGCCTAGTAGCTCTTCTTGAATTATGTATTACAGGAAAAGATCAGACTTCTGTTATCATCATAGCGTGTTCTGTTGTCAACAGTTGAGTATTTTCTTTACTAATTCGCAATTTGTTTCATTTCCCAGAAGGTGATCCTTTATTTTTGGAGTTGAACTGAATTTGCGAAATGTAGGATACTTGCCTGTTGGACATGCGATCGTGCATTTATAGAGTGTAAGCAGTATGCCGTATCATACTTCTAATTTATCGCATATAGGCAGATGCTTCTAACAGAAAATCCAAGTAACCCTAACTTTAAGGAAATCAGTGAAAAATGGTTCACATATTCATAACAACCACATATTTTTATATGAAGAATTTTTCAGGAAATTCCTTGATTTCATTCTCGTCAACACTGTTAACAGATGGCAAGAAATAATAAGGAAATGCTGCGCTTCCTCTTGTCTCTGCTTTGTTTAGTTCTTGTCCATTACCGAAAGAGTATGGGAAATTAATGTAGTTAAGAATTATAGCCAATGGCTAGGGTAGCACAATATACTGTCATAACCACGGATGAGAACCTATTGCTTACTTGATTGGTAGGTGTATTGGTTTTTATTAGTTGGTATTATCGTCATGTCAATATCTTTATGGATGACTGAAGAATAAAAACGTCCAGCTGTTCAAGGTTTATCTAGTTTTGTTCCGTGTAAGCAGCTGACGAGAAACAAGCGGAATAAAGTGGTATGTGTTTGTGATCCAATCTTCTATCCAGGTACGGTTCTCTCCCTCTCCCCCTGTATATATATATATATATATATATATATATATATATATATATATATATATATATATATATATATATATATATATATATATATATATATATATATATAATTTGCAGTTCACGTACGTTTTCACTTTAACTGAAGCTCATCTAATACCCTGTTTTTATAATTGTTGACTTTTATCTTTAATCTCTCATTCTTACCAAAAGAATCTATTCATCCGGTTTTTATTTCACCACTAATTAAGTTCTGTTTTACTGTTCATCGTACAAAATTAATCTAACCGCTTCCAGTCTTATGTAAGTCTTGGTTCTTCGAAAATAAACCAAACACTCTAGTGACACGTTAATTCTGAAACATTGAATTTTTTGAATTACACTACTGTATTACTCAGTGATAATAATGGCCAGTAAATTACAAACGTCGAACAGCGAGGTGGCTATAGGCTTATCGACATCTAAAGCACTTTAGGGAGAACGCATCGGCAAAATAAACAGAAGAGTTCTATCGAAAACAAACCATTGTTGAAAGTGGTAAAAATGTTGCGATTCACAAATTAAAACGTGAGTTTTGAGAAAAGCAAATGCTCAATCAAGAGAAAATCCCCATACTAAGTCATAGAAGAAATAAGTAACAACGAAGGAAATTTTCTTTGTAATGATTTCATTTACTGGAGTTGTACAATCGTATTTACAATGTTGGCAAACAAATAGCAGTCTATTAATAATCAGTAGGGCCACGTGATTGCTATTATGTTCAAGAGTAATCCAGAAGGTTGTCTCCAAAGACCGAACAAGGCTAATGAGTATTCGTGATGTTTTTGAGCACAGAAATAAAGTTTTAATTTATGGATCGGCAGTGATTCGACTATATATAGATGACTTTGGAATTGTTAATTACTTTGAAGGAACTTCTAATAAGTGCCAGATATCCGAAAGTTACTAGGTGTTTAGAATAGAAATGTCTCCTCTAGATAATTAAGCTGCACAATGCATTTACAGACCTAACGCAGTGAGATTTCGGCAGAATGGAACGACTGGAGATGTGAATGAAGTGAAATTGTGAATGACCATGAATCATCCTACTCATTAATAGTAAGTAGTATGAAGCTGAAGGCATAAAAATACTAGGGCGACGTCTAAAAATGAAGGAAATAATTAAGTTAGTATTTTAGACATTTGTGGTAGATAATTGCTGGTAGTTTTTCTGTTATCAAAATAATACTGAAATCAATTTAATAGGCGTTTTTACAGGTAATTCATTTGATGGATTCTAATGCCTCAAACGCTTACCGTAAGAGAGAATAAATATATTTGTCAAATCCCAATGAAGCAGAAAAATAAATTTATGACGTTTCTCGACTTCGTGGAAATCGCCTCCTTAGAGAATAAAACCTGTACAAGTTATCGATTGTTTAAATAATAAAGTTGCGAAACTTCAGAAAACCATTTATCTACTTCATTTGGATTTTACAAATATATTTCATTTAATAATCCATTTACCCCAATGCTCAACTTATTCAACTATATCAGGTCAAATTTTGATCCTGAAGTTTACAATAAGTCCAACTGTTTACCATTGTGAAAAATGTGTACAGCAGTTGAAATTAAAGTTAAAATGTATTCAGCCAACACGTGCAGGTTCATATAGTAGGCAGTGAGCCACGGTTATTTTGTGTAGGTCCTGGCTACTCAAACCTTGGTAGTTGGGACTGAATTCAAACCAGTAGTAGTTCCATTTTATATTTGTGAAGCGTTTCACAAACTGTCGCGTTCACTGTATACGTGTATATGTGTCCTAAATTGTAACATGTGAAATTTTACTGGTGTAAAGGAGAATACTTAATGGTTTCATTTCTGCTATTAAATTTTTTAAGGAATTATAGACGGACAGAGAGAAGAAAAGAGAGATAGGTCCACAGGTCAGTGCTCTATGCATCCAGTTACCAATCATTGCGTCGCGAACGCGAATCTCGTTCCATCTACCTGATAATGTTTTTTAATAATAGTAGTAACGATAGCCTTATTCCAAACAAGACTTATGGTACGCATGGAGTTCTCAACATTTAATTGTCCAACAAATTAATTTCCTGTACAGTATCTTTCAGCGAAGTAATCGTTGCATTTAGATGTCAATAATAACGGTAATATAGGCCACGGTATGAAACAGGAACCTAGTATTATATAAGCAAGCATCTAGTTTATTCAGCTAGTGCCAACACCTGCAGTTCAACTTAGTTATCCAAGGAACAGCAATTTACTGTATTTCTGTACATTTATAAGCTGATCTCTTACTGGAGTAACATATATTCTTTGTTTCGCTGTTAGCTTGAAAAACGGCAATTTGGAACCATTTTAAAATTGTGCAGGAGTACTTGATGCATTTAAAAGACACAATTAAAAATTAAAAGGGATTGATTTTATGAGATAAATTTGGTGGACAATTTTCAGCAGCTCATAGTTTAAGTAAGCCTCAGGCCGTTATAAATAAGATACTGGCCATAGACACGGAAAGCTAAAACAAAATTATTGAATGCTGCTTTGGATGTATCTTTGAGAATACTTCTTAATAACCCATTTTTATCTGTATTTTACTCGTTTTTCTGCTTTTTGCCACGTTTTTGCCTTCTTACTGTAGCTATATTAATTTGTATGGCGCACCTCTTGGTGCCCATGTTGTACGAACTTTGGATTTTAAAAATTACGCAATAGTCCTGTGTATTTGTGTGGGAAATTTCTTCGTCATTATTTCAACGCGAGAAACTCATAATCCGGCAAACTAATATTTCCTAATTGAGATTCGTTGTTCTCTCCATTCATTACAGAGGTAAATCATGGATTCGTACTTTAGTAGTAGCTAGTCGAGCCTATTTCTATGCGCGTTCTTACGGTCGTCGACTTGAATTAACAAGTATCCTGTCTGATACAGAAAAGTGGGAAGTTGAAGTCTCTTTTCGAATCGTCCTTTTACCTGCTCCATCTAAAGAAGAATCTCACCTACCACCAGATAGATTACTAGAAAGATTAGAACAACGAGCTCGGTAAGTTAACTGTGATTTTAAAGTGTATTTTTCATCATTAAGATTTGCAAAATATTCAGTCGAAGAATCCTACAGAATTCTTAAAGTCTCATACTTTTCTGAGAATTTCAAGTAGGCCTATTAATTGTTGAAAAATGGTACAGTGAAAAAAGTATGAGAAGCAAGAGAAGCGAATGGAGAACAGGGCTTAAAGCAGTAATCTGCTGTTAAGATTATTCACACTACATTTTAAACCTCAACAAAAGTCTAGAAAATTTATACATTACTATACATATATATCTAAAAAATTTTTTTGGCCATTAGTTTCCATGTGTATTCTTGCATAAATCCTTTCAATTCAAAACTGGTATCCTAGGAAAAGACTATCTGAGGTTAGTTATACTTCCTAGTCGTACTGTGGTTTATAGCTGTCAAGCATGTTTTTCAAAGCATTGTCAGAAGCTAAAAACTCTCATTAGTAGGAGGTAACCGGACTGTTATTGTTAACGCGGTTACATTCTTTGAGTTTGAGGATTTCTATCGGTATGAAAGAGCCTAAGTATTTACATCATATTTGAATCCACTGTAGTTAGGTTTCTCCCACCCATTTATGTGCTCATTCTATTACCACCTATGGAAACCATCTTGTTAGCACCCTTGATTAGTAGTAACAGTAGGAAAACCTGATCTCTTAAAAAGGTTGTGTCGGTCAGTAAATAATCACAGATATCACTCCTATGTAAAGATTGATTCCAAAATTATTTGCAGAACATATACGGCATTCCCGAAATTTCATATGTTGGTTTACTTTTAGGGAGAAAAAGTCATCAAAACTACAGACTTATTTAGATGACAGACAGATGAAATCAATATAAAACCTCGTACACAAGTGCATCGACACACATGTGAATTAGGAGACTGGGAATAAGGTTTCCATGGCTTTGATTTTTGACATTGGTAGTAGAATGCGAGGTTGGGTATAGTGTAAGGGGCTTAATATTCGTATCAGGAGACAAAGGTAAAGAAGGAGACAAAGTTGAGGAGGATAGATTATATTTGACTGTATCTTGAGTACTACTGGAAGCGTGCGGACAGTTGAAACTTTTCGTCGGCCCACACCGTGGGCCTTAGTTCTTCTTGAGATACTCAGAGAAGAAGAGTTAGCGCGTGACCGCAGAACTCATGGGACACCTAGTTGAGGCCTGTCACAGCATTTTATGGGTTGTTGTTCCAAAGTTTGATTGTACTGAGGCCGGCAAGGGAAAACCTATACCGGTGGCAGTGGAATATCATGGGACGTGGCTGAGTGCGTTATTTTTGAGGCCAACGTTTTCTTACCCCCTCCCTTCTATACGGGAAGGGGGCATTAGCGTTCAGGCAGCAGTAAGACTTCGCCCTCAGACCACCATCATAGTGTAACAATTTACACTACAATGGTAACTGCTTTTCGTCTTGCCACTATCTATCAAACGTTTCTGGCATGGTAGGACGTCGAGGGAACAAGCGTTTCAGACAGTGTAATTCGTTGGAGTCATTGTGATATATCAACCCGACCACTACGTCATGGGAGCATCTCTCGGTCGGGACTATTGAAATGAAGAATGTATGATTAGATAAAGTAGCAAGATGTTTAGGATCTACTCGAAAGCAGATGGCTCACTGTTCTCGATTTTCAGCGATTTCGTCTACCATTTTCAAATATATATTTAACACTATTATGAAAACTCACTGTTGAGTGCCTTATGCTTCTGTTCATCTTTAATGCCAAACAAATGATGGTTTCATGTTTTGACACTATACCTTGACTTGCTCACCTTATGTTTTTTTACACTGTTGTTGCACCACCCAATCCTATGCTTTAAACTAAGCCGTGGCTAAGTGGACGTAGCACACATCTGATTTGATGCAAATCCGCATTCGTAACTAAACTCACCAGGTTTTTCTAGAAGTTTTCAGTGTATCTCAGCGCGGTCTACCTAATACTGCTCAGACTCTTGATCCCTCTAGTGAAGTCTGACTAACCAGGTGGTATCATCAACTGACATACATTATTTGTAATCCATTGCATAGTGCACAAAACTGCGCTTACCTTGAATGTTTTCCTGCCTAGTGATATCAGGTTCTCTACAGTTCAGACTGATTAAGTCTTCAAAACCACCACTTGAGAAAAATTTAGTGTGTTGTGTAGAATATGATAAAATTCTCCAAACTTCTGATCATAAAGCGTGTCTTATGGGATTTGCCTAGCTGTACTTGCTGACGATATCACCGGGATAGTCGCTTTAATCATGAGTTACTTAAGGTTAGTGGATTTTTAACCTAGAAACTCATCGTTGTCATCTGAGGTTTCACGTTTCTTGTTTCGATTCCAGTTTTTGAAAAGTCTCAAAAGGTTTCTTTGTATTCTAGTTTGTGTTAGAAATCTTGCTAATACTGCTTCAAACAAAGCCTTCATATTTAGTGTAACATTTATTTTAAGTTGCATTGTTTCTTCACTTTATTTTTAGATGGTACAACTTTAGAGCTACTTTCTACTTGTCCGATGCTGGTAAAGTAAACGCTATTAAACTCACTCAGGTTGGTTGTGTTTATCAATACACATCTGTGTACTTTTTCAATACTTAGTATCTCGTCAATTTATCAGGATACCTAATTACTAAATTGATGTTACGACTTATAAGGTTTAGCTTTTAAATTTTATTTCATACTGGTTGTTATTTTTTCCGAAATTCTTAATTTGTTTGTGTAAAATTATTCCTTTAGAAGCTATGTTGTTATAGGACGACTGAAGACAATTACGAAAAACTCCTGACCTCACATTTCTTCAAGTGTTAAGATATACCACTATTTTTTTTTTAAATTTTCCATCCGGAAAGGCTATAAAAGATAGTCTTTAATTACGCCTTATTGAAAATTTGTATGTCAAGGGAATTCCAAATCTGCATCCTACAGCTTGTGCTTAACATGGTTAACCCTCAAGGTTACCTGTAAAAGTGCTTTGTAAATACATGAACTTTTGTTCTGTTCATCTACAGTTTAGGACAGTGTTAAGAGCTTTCAATCTTCTCCTGCTTTGACATACTTCTCATTTACTAGTGACTGGGTTAGGATTCAAATATACAACTTTTGTATGTATCCATCTGAGTGTAGCGTACTGTATCCCGTCAAACTCTTATTCCTGAATTATATCACAAAGTTTTCTATCCTAGTCTGTACAAAAAGTGTCTGCATTTTTAGTAAACGCATATTTTCTTTTCATTTTGAACATTTATTGTTTAGTAATAGCTCTGGGAGTGATAATCATGAGGTGCTATGCAGTTTGAAACAGTCATCAGATGGTAAACAATACTAGTTGTGGTGTTAGTTGCACTCCTTCAAGGAAGAAGTGTAGTGTGACTAAAGTGTTCTATTGTATTTACTTAAATCCATTGAGTGTCGTCTAGCACCAGAAAAAATACGCAGTACAGGTCCCAAAATTTATTCAATTTTTCTTGGCAATGCAACCTACAAAAAGCAGTTCATTGTTATATTAAGTTACTGTTCTTAGTAGTCAGATTACTCGAATTCACCGGCAAATTTTATTGATCTCTGATTACATTATCTTAGAAATGATTCCTGTTTAGAGAAATACCTCTAAATAGAAATTTGTTAGTGACATCGCCAAATTATCCTTACTCTTATTTCATAATATTGTTCTGACCCATTTATCAACCCTTACTGCGTTCCGAAAGCCATATTCATTAAGGTTTCCTATCATTTTATCTTCCCTAGACCGTTCGAACATGCCTAAGTCACAAAATACATAGTTACCTGGGGACAAACAACAGTTTATTTTACTTACTTCAGGTAGATATTTTCAATACCTAGAATATTACCGATCAGAATATATTCCCCAATAACTTTGATTTAATTTTTTCTCCTTCTCTCCTCAAAGTTGCAACATGAGACCGAACAGAGCGAGAAAAAATTAACCCAGAACCTGGCACACAAGTGCATAGGCACACTACACACTTCACAGCAGCTCACAAACAACAGGTGAATAGAAAGAATAAGACCGATATCAAAGTAAACAAAGTTGTGTGGGAGAATAAACAATTTGAAGATACAGGTTAGTGCGAATATTCAAGCCTTGGAAGACATCAAAGAGTGAAGACATCTGTGTCATGGTGACCGATTTCCAGCAACGTCACCAAGAATTCTCAATCACCGATTCCTATCGTCTCGGTGACCCCAGTCAGATGATCTACATCGCCCCGTTAGACCAGCAGTCAGAACAACAGTCAGGGACATCATCGACAGGTGTCATGTTTTGATTTGGCCACTGTGAACCCTCTCCCAGCATAATCCAGCTTCCCGTAACATAACACGGTGATGTAGGCGATGACTCGGCATGCTCAGCAAATGTTCAAGCCATCACAGTCATCAAGGTTCACGACCTCATCAATCGACTTGCCTGTCTTGGCTATTAGCGTTTGCCTGACGTCAGCATTGCTCACATCATGATTCAGCATCGTCGAGCAATGCTACGAAGACATGTGTGATCAAAACCCAGTAATCGCTTCGTGTCACCTACCTTTAACAGCGATGTTTCACAGCTGTATAGCAGTGCAGAAGGGACTGTGGCCCTACTGACCCATCCTGTGATAGATAGTCGAATATCTTGGCAGTCGGCGTCACAGGTGACGCAAGTTATCAAATACCGAACGTGCCTTCTGTATCTGAGTTGAGATTTCGTCATCAACCAACCTATTCAGGTTGATGCCACTCCACAAGAAAGTGAAGTGGTTGACACATTCCACCACTCCACGCTCTTGCATTCGACCAGTCCTGGAGCATCATATTACATTTGACAGGTGTGAGACTTATGTTAAACATTCTCCGATTTCTGCTGAACGTCTTCACAAGACCCTGGATTGCTTCAGCGTCTTCAACAAGCAGGACAATATCGTCTGTATAGTCCTAGTCAATCAGGTAACCTCTAGGGAGTAGGTCAATCCCTATGAAGTCAGACGTATCTTAGACCACGGGAAGCGGAAACACTTTCGTTACCTTGGAATGTAATTCGTGAGCTAGGAAAAATACATGGTTTTGTTACAGTTATGAGCGATTTTAAAAGTAAGAAGCAATTGGGTTATAGTTAATATTACTTTCGAATAATGAATATTACCTAAAAAAGCGTATCCGATTAATGTACTGGAATGGGTAAGAATTTGGATATCTTATGTAATTATAAAGAAGGCGATGTGCGCATAGAAGGTAAGTACGACATCGTGTTTTCTGTAATTCGTGAGGCCTTGGTTTAGTGGTTTAAAGAGATGATTATCGACCGCTGGCTTGCAGATTGGAGTCGCGCTCCCTCTAACGAGGTTTGGACAGCCGTGTAGTATCACCAACTCTTACACAATAGGTGTACTGCACAAGGTGACTGAGTGCGTGACCTAACTAACTGGCTGTCTTTAGTTTCACCTCCTCAATGTTTGAAATAATAGAACCAGAACTAAAACGATGTATGTAGCTGATGAAAATCCTGTGGAACAAGTGAAATCATGCCATTCTGCAAAAATGTTCTGGTTGCGTTACTCAATTTCATCACAGAGACAAATTATATGAAATTCCTGAAGCAAAGACTTCTTGCATAATCTAACAAGTTGCTGAATAACTTGGTAGTAATTCACAGAATATCAAAACAGGTGACTAGGCTCAAGTTTTATTAAACATATCCTGAAATACGTTTCTCACACAATTTCTTAAGACCTTAGGTTCACACAGACTTCTACCATCCAACAGAAACTTTTGTTGAATAGTGAAGTACAAAGTATCAACGAAAACTTTGACTACAATCTCAAGAGCAAAATGAGTTCAACCAACGTATCGATGATCCTGGGATTGTGTGTCGAATACTACCTATTCTATGCAATAGGTGCAAACAAAAACAAGTCGCTTGTTGTAATCACTTTTTAGGTAAATGGTCAAATAAAAATCACTCAGCGATTTGCCAAAACTCATAAAAGTATTCAAGCGACTTACTGTAAATGAGGTTAAATGTATGACAGAAAGACATCCTCTCTCTTTATTTTTATGTGCCTGGGAAGTTATATGGGAGAATTGATATGGAATTCATTCAAAAGCCTGTATCATAAATGAACGATCAACTGATTAAATAAGAAAGTGATGGGGTAATTTAAAGCCAAATTGGTCAATATTGCTCATCAGTACAAGGTACCTTAAACTGCCTAGTCAAAATCTCAAAGGAATATCAGAATGCAGCGAAAGTAGGGAAAAGTGACGAGTGGATTTTAATTCTTTAGTTTAACATGAGGCCTGGAGTGGTAATTCTTAGTAAGGAAGAATATATGAGGAAAATGAAATCATCCATAAAAGCATGTACGAAAATGAAGATAAGTGGTTTAAAATTAAATTAATCCTTGGAGATTCATTAGGCTTCAAAGTAGATATGACAGAAGATATTGAGAAACGAACCACAAATAAACCAAGAGAACTGCCTGAGAAAAAACGGATAGACAGTCAAACCTATGGCGCCATGGTGAGCTAAGCTGATGGAACGCTTGTTTCCTAGTATACCAGAAAGGTCAGCTGGATACTGGTAAAATATAAAGTAGTCAACGTTATCATGTAAATTTTTACGCTGTGTTGGAATATGAGGGTAAAATTCTGCTGCTGGATGGATGAAGGTGTGACTTCAGTGAGATATTCCCTGCGGATAACCGGCAGCATGACGCTGATGGTACCTTCCCTGTAGAAGGGGGAGTTAGGAAAGGTCGGTCCTGAAAATTGCACACTCCCTTCTACCTATACCAAAAGGGTGGTGGCCACCTGGGTTCAGAGCAAACTAAGCTAACAAACCTCTAAAAAGATTGTATATGACAGGCCTCAAGCAGATGTTCCTTGCGTTCTGCGGTCACGCACTAACCTTTCTTTTCCAGATTTCTCAAGAAAACCTAACCTTCCACGGTGTGGACAGCCTGAAAGTGTCATCCACCACAACTCTGTTAGCACTCAAGCTCCGTCAGACCACTGTTCACCTCCAACATTCTTACCTTCTAATCCTCCTTCATGTCTTTCAGTCAACCATCCTAGGTATATTATTGACCATCAAGGTAGGAAGTTCTCTACTTGACTGGGTCCCAGTTGCAGTTGCCTATGCGCTGAACGGAGCAATGAAGACTACAAAAAAGACTAGAAAAACTCGCTGTTGTCTCTTCGTAATCTCTGCTCACGCACCCACTGACTGCAGTTCGGATGAAATGTAGGATGAGTTCTAGCGAAAACTGTCAACTGAAAACCAAACGTTCAGACGAAGTTGTTGCAGTAGGTGATTTCAAAGCACAAGCGGGTAAGCTGAGTCATGCCTAAACGCACTTAAGTCTCACTTTCGAAATCCCAGCCGAACGAACAGACAATGGCGATCGCCTGCTACAACGGTGCCCAGATAACCATTTATTTCTGGCCATCACAAACTACAAACCTAAAGAGAGACATTGCCTTATGTGGCGTCTACCAACCTCAACTCAGCAGTAGACAGAGACTATGTTGCTATCACTTATCGCTGGAGACGT